TCCTCAACTAGCATAGCCCTGATTTGCAACTGAAAATGTGCAGGGGCACCGTCATGTTGGTAGTAGAGGTTTCTCAGTAAACGAAGAGGCACATTTCCACTGCACGTTTATGTAGGACATAATTACAAATTAAATACACTCGCACCAAAACTACAACCCAAAGCGACGTAGAATGTCGGCACTGCGCGGCGCGGTTTTAAATCATATTAACACGTACATTCCGTACCGACGCAGCGAAGGTGACTGACACACTGACACAGTGACATTAGCCTTGACCGCGAATCGCTGCCGCTACCTACGATATGTTGAGTTTTTTGTTGTGAATTCTGTAGGTATATCCGTACTTGCCTAGGGTGAAATAATTGTAAGAAAAAATTGAGATTTGACTAAAAAAAAATGTTGTTATTTTTCATTGAAATTACTTTCTATAAGTGAAACCAAACCACTGGTTTCAAGGATAACGGTGTTTACACTAACACTCTGTATATGTATATATATATATATATATATATATATATATATATATATATATATATGATTAATATATAGTTAATTTTGCAAATGTCTATACTTTTTACTATATGCTTGTATAATTCAATATCCAAATTACACAAGGCGGGAGCGATAACGCGAAATATAAGCGATGCGGTTGGCTGCGTGTCTTCTCAATTTGTGTGAGCCCCGTTAACACGAATGCACATGCCGGGCATAAAAAGGCGGAGATAGGAAACCCGGTAATGGGCTTTATGGTAAATTCATTGGATCTCTCATTTGCGCGTTAGGCGATAGTGCAAAGTGGCGCGAACAATATATATATATATATATATATATATATATATATATATATATATATATATATATATATATATATATATGTGTACATACATACATACATACATAATTGTATATTTTTATGTAATTAAGGGTATAAGTTACATCAGGCGAATTTCTAATTAAATCAATTCGGAACAATTCGAACTCTGCACCCTTGAGGGGTTGACTACCGTAGTCCGTAGTCAGAACTAGTTTAAACGCTTTGGAATACTGTAAAAGATGACTGATGACACGTGACTTAGCGTCTCTTTTTGAATTTATTGGCATCGAACTAAATTTTAAGAAGTAAACTCCTATTTTCTTTTGGGAAATATTGTTTCACCAATTCTAAGGTGCTGAAAGTTTCTGTTTTATATATCGCCCCATACATACATATAACCATGTCAGATTCTAATACTGAACATAGACCACCCCATAGATAAGGGGATATTTGTCACAGTTACCACGCTTAGCAGGCGGGTTGTATATCCGCAGTTTTTTATTCGTTATTTGTTAAGCTATTGCATAGCTTCTATCGCGGGCCTTGAGCGCGGGGACCGAATCCAGAAATTCCGTAACGAAAAAAACCTCACGCTCCCCACTCCGACGGGCACGGAGGTGTGGCGTTGAAAGCCGTGCATCGTCTAACGTCGTTTCAGTTCGGCAGACTTCGGCACTCGGCAGACTTCGACACGGTGTTTGTGTGCGTGCGACTAGACGTATGCGTGTACACTAGCTGCTAACTCAATGATAAAAATTCCTGAATAACCTACATGTATTGTAAGATATTAAAAATATTTTAAACAATATTAACTTCTCATTTATTCAATAAGAGAAAAAAAATTGTTTTCTTATCGGTCACCACGCTCAAAAAGTGTAACTTGATTTAATATCAAAGACTTAACTGCATAAATAAATAAATAATTATAATTGCATAAGTTGATAAAAAATGCTATGCAATAGCTTTACCGCGGCAGTCACCGAGTGCCACACGTATTATATTATTAAGGAGACTCTGTATATTGTTACGCTGCTGACCATCTCTTACGTTACGATATGGAGTACCTAGTGGATACTGTAACACCGCCACTATACGGTAATGCCACTGTTTTATATAATGACTTACCCAGTATACATTTGTGTTGTACTTATGTATTATACGGTTCACCTGGGGCATTAACTACGCCACACCTATTTCTGTCATGCTCGTGTAACAATTGTTTTTAGCAATTTTGTTCGTCGGAGTGTTGGTTGCCGGTTACAATTATCAAAGAGGCGAAAATAATTAAAATGTTAATTAAAAAAATATATCAGTCCCAACAGATGGAGTCTTCTACTCATTCAAAAAATTCAAGGTCTTTCCAAACACGAAAGTAATTTATTTGCAGAATGGCTTCTCGAACTTGGAAAAATTTAAGTTTGAAAATCCAGCTTACAGATCTTTGAGCATTGCGTTGTTAAAATGATCGAAAGTCATTAAAAAGATTCAAGTAAAGACTCACTTGAGATAAACAAAAAGGTGGTTGACAAAATCCGCGGAGGAAACATATTTTACAGCAGCATCGCAAACATCGAGTATGAGGATTCAGAGGAACAAAATTATTACATAATGGATTAATGGAGTTCATTAACTCGCAGACTTCCTTCCGAAATGTCTCCGCAAATACTGAGACTGAAGATAGAAGCAATCATCAAGATACAAAGTTACTATACTCCACCAAATCTAAGAAATACCTTTGGAGAGCTTTCACATTTATTGGACTTGGCATTCAAACTGAAAAATCGGTAAACCTACCTAAAATATTTGATTCATAAGAGAAATCGATATCGGTTCTTTAGTGTTGGTAATCATTTAAAGTTTTATCTAGTTTAAAACCAGAATAAATTAGAAACCAATAACTAAAAACACAAAATTTATCATCTTCTTCATACTTATTGATAACTGGTATTTCTAGACAAAGTTATGTAAATTAGAGACTGCACTAGATTAAAAACAAATTTATTTAACTAAAATTTCACGTCGTCTTCGCCGTTGTGTACATTAATTATTATTTGATTTTCTACAATGCATTCAAAATGAATGTCTCTTTCATAGTCGTCCATAACAACTTTCTTTGTTTCCTCTTTCACCTTTCATTCTTTGCATTCTCTTTCTCTTTGCATGTCTCTAAATAATTATTTTGCGTTTGTCACTGTTTTTGTATCGGAATTTGTAATAAATTCCTTTTCAAAGGGTTCTCTATCACTCTACACTAATATTGCACAAGACGGCATGTATTTTCAAAATATGAACAGTTAAACTTACTCCGCAATCTTCGCCGCAATGGGATTTACAGAAATTATAGATATTATAAAAATTACACTTCTTTAATTTATGACTCTTAACCTAAAAAAGAAAAATTGAAAGAAACAAATAATAAACTAACAAATGTAAAGTTTAGATTATTTGAATATTTTTACCGATTATTCGCATTAGCATGAATTTGGGTCATCCAAACACTACGTTGAGGTCCGTATAACGACACAATCGTACCATAGAATTTGAAACCGATACCGAAATTTTTGTTGATCATACGAGCCAGCGTGTGTTCATTCCTTGGATTAATCTATTTTCAAACAAAGTTGAGCTTTCATTCCAGCTCAGAAAACGACGTTTTAAATCAGAGTGTTGTTCGAAAAATAAAATCAACCTTTGACAAATTGGAAATTATTTTCCAGTTCCAACCTTCGAAAGTAGCCAAATTTATGATGATTTTTCTCGCTTTCAAGATGTAAAAGTTTTTGTGTCAGCGTCAAACAAGGACAGATTGAAAATCTGGACTCAAAATGTGGTACATCGTATCATCGTCATTGTTCTTTGTAGAGTTACATTTATAGTCTGTTAAAATAGCTTTAGACCTTATTTGTTTACGCGGATTGATTTCCCGCCTCGACTCAGAGAAAAAACATATTACTCTACAATATGATAAAAGTCGAATGGTAAGATTTCACCGATGAACGTACTTAAGTAACTTATATGCCAATTCAATAATACGGTACCATGGTGCTGATCTGATAATGAACCTAATAATGAATGAAGCTTATTATTAAATAGATTTTATATTAAGTGACTAAAGTGCCACGGCTAGTTTATTTTGAATAATATTAAACTAATAGTTTCCATAGTTTTCGAGAGGAGTCTGGTCGAAGATGATAACTGCTTCTGCTTCACTTAAATGGGCTCTAACTCTGACAGTAGCTCCAAGAATATTCGCAATATTTTTGAGTCTGTGGAAAGAAGAAACAGGTTGGGAACGTCAGACTACGCTTAGGCCATAAAACGGCTGACTGAGTTTACAACTTACAGGATTCGTAATTATTAGTTGGTATTAACCAGAAATTTTGTATGTATCAGTTAACAGATACATACCTGATATCAGAAAAAATTAAATGCAACCTTCTTTGTGGTGGCAGCCTATTTTATTTATTATTATATAGATTATAGATAAATATACAAATCTACCTATAAAATATATTATTATACACTAAAACCCGTGAGGACCTAAAAAACTGGAATACGATTATCTCATACTGATTACTACTGATTATGTTGGTAAGGTAGATTAGGTATATGAGATTAGGTTATGAAGTTAGTTTGCTGATCAAAATTTGAGAAAAATAAGAGCGCGCGAGCAAGCAATTTGCATTTCGTTGTTTGCACGGACGCTTAGCACGTGCAGCGGTGCAGTGACTGGCGAGCGCCACGCTATGGAACCGGACAGCGAAAACATACTCGCCACGGTATGTGTCGTGTTTAGCATCTAAATGGATGGGTTACATTAAGTACAGACATGCAACTCATAATATTCCTTTTCATTAAAAACATATACAATTATATAGAATGACGAAATGAAAATTGCAAAAATACAAACCACATTGGCAGTGAACTTTAAACCGCGCTGTGGATTGTGCTGCGATAGGGCAAATCGCCAGTTGGCTACAGAACACGCGGTGTCACGGTTGTAACAAATCGAGCATTTTGCTTGTGATAACACGTAGTGAACTGTTTTTACTAACAAAATATATCTTTATTTATGACGTTTAAATATAATCATGATTTTCACATTTTATGGTAAATTGAAAGTTATGATATTGTATTGAAGTGACAAGTTATAATTTGTTTTAGCAAAAGTTAGGAAATCAAACTATTGGTAAGATATTATTTTACGTCATAAGTTAAGTTGTATCCAAAAGGAAATTTGATTCCTCATTCAATACCAGTTCAAAGGTCTGCATTAATATCAAATAACACATTAAATAGTTGTGTATATTATATCATTATTTTAGTTTCAGCTGCAATTTATTTTTCAAAATTGACATAATTGTTTCTTTTTTTAATGCTTTTTTCTTTTCTTCGTTGCGTTTTGTTTACAGTATGTATATCTAATACCAAAGAGTCTTAAAATCACAATCACTGCTACTCTACGAAGAGATAGCTGGTACTTTAAACCCGTTAGCCGTACAGTCTCCGTTACCTGACCCCTTTTTCCTAATTTAATATCAAATATTTCGTATACTGTACACCTAAGAAATATAACATTTTATATGTTACATTGAAATGTTCTTATGTTAATAATAGATAGTGTTGATGTGTAAATTAATATTACCGCGTCACATAAATTAACCATTTCTCAATTTTTTATTTAACGGCGTTCGTCAGTGTCAACTCTGAGGCTAACTCTATGTTTGTAACCTTTAGGAAGGTTATATTCAAATAAACTTTGAATATTATCTATCCTCTTATTTTACGTAATATAATGGCTTTAAAATAAAATTTTACAACCTAAGCTCAAGGGCAAGCTCAAGGTATGTAATGACACCACACGATTCACACAAACTGTCAAAACGCTTTCCACTTAGTTCATATCCCAATAACAATTATTCTTTTATTATCAATAAAGTAATGTGTTAATATATATATATATATATATATATATATATATATATATATATATATATATATATATATATATATATATATATATATAATGTGTGAATATCTCACGAATTAACGCTCGCAAGACCGTCAGAAATAACCCTGAGGCATGCTTACTGATAAGAATGATAGTACCTAATTGCTATTATCAGTTTTGACGGTTTCTTTTCTTGAAAACTGCTATCAATTTCATATTATGTGTAAATTTTATTCAGGTATCGTTTTTATGTTAGTGCTTTATACAAAAGGTTAATAAACACAAATTTAATTATTTTTGCCTTCTAAGCTGTAGTTAATTTTTAAAATCTTTAAATAATTTAGAGAATACGTTAAAGATTTCGCTACCTTTGTCAAGCATAGAAAAAGCAATCTCATGAAACGACATTTTATATAGATGACCATGCATAATGTTTACAATAACCCATTGAGATGCAACTACAAACATTATACTCAATGCATTAGCCAAATACCAACGAACATTGTTATCATCGTATATTGCTATGAGTTGATAATGAATTCGATTAATTATGAGTAAGTGAAAAACGGTTGATTTAAAAAACGCTAAATATCTTTGTAGGTAGGTACTGTAGCGTAAATACCGTAAATAACTGTTCTTTACTTTGCAAAAACTGATTGATAAATAATATAGATTCAAAGTCACTGACCTCTATATATGGACTAGCTATGACATGGACTGAACGTACACGGAACTAATAATATGTGTGACAAAATATATTGATAAAAATTCTATTCCCAGGCCCCGTAACGTCAATTTTATTTATGTATCATATTAATATAATGCCATGCAATAAATAAATGTATCAATTAACGCCTAGACCTTAGACGCAAGCTTTATACCTCATATTAAAACCAAGTTCGACGCGGCGTTGATCTATCTAGGTACGTTTTTATTCTTAACAACAGAAAGAATTTTGTTCTGGGTTTCCACATTGTGTATTTATTATTCGCAAGGCTTAAATATTTAATTACCTAGTACTGGAAAATATTCAACTGGAGTAAGTAACTATACAAAACAAAAATAAAAACATTATTTAGAAAATAATTTATTGTCAACCGTTCATTCAATTCAAGTATTATAAAAAACAAATCAGCTGCTAAAATATCGCTTATAATAATAATTATTATTATCTGTTGTTGACGACTTTGGTGTGCCATCATTGCCCTATTGAATTTTATTGTTTATTAAATCTTAGTAATATAAAAGTAAACATGTTGGTAATTAGAATATTATGACTTGTACCTACTATGGTATCAAATAGTTTTAATTTGTTTAATATTAGCTGTAATTTCACTTTCTTGTGTTATCCCACGTTCCTTTTGGTAACGAGTTTTACATATTATGCACACTCATTACTACTAAAAATAATTCTTATTAAGTTACTAAAATCAAACGCAATCAGACCTCATAAAATACTTTAATTTTTTAGTTTAAAATGGTGGCGCTTCAAATTAGCACAGACATTTTGTATAGTTACATATAGCTAGTCCAGCGTACTTGTATATATTTATATAGAGGTCAGTGTCCAAACTCCAAGAAGGCAGTCCCTCGTAGAAAAGCAATGGTCAACACAAAAATTATTGTGTATTCGTCAATCAAATCAGAAATCAAAATCTTCGCTATAACTACCTAGCTTTTGATATTGTTGCTAAGTTATAATAATTCTGCTAAGTATATAGTTATTAAGTAAGTACATTATATTATAGTTTATAAACAAAACCAAAACGCTGACATTAATTTTAGACAACTAGACAAGCACGATAATCTGGTTTTTAAATTTAATCTTTCGATATTTACCTCACTTCATAGAGTTTCCTTTACGTCGTCATCTAGAAGGAAATAAGGGAAAATAGGGGTCTATAAGTTTCACGCATTTTTGATAAAATACAAACTACCCCTTATTATTAAGGCCTCCAAATAGCAAAATAGGGTTTAGAAATGAAGAATTCCGAAATGGAAATCAGTATAATATCTAATCTTTTGATATTATATCTTGTGATTTCCAAATGATTCTTTTTCAGAAAAAAATTTAAACGCGCTAACGTATTACAAGCCAAGTTATTGTAGTGTTACTAGTTACTAACGATTTTTTGGCTTGTTCCAAAGTACAAGAACATCAACATACGAGTTGTTTGCCGCTTATTATCCTCGATGTGACTCACAAGCTTTAACTTTGGCAGTTCCGTTTAGTTTCATACTAACATTTAAACAATAGTCTACTCACGAACAAATATACCATTTTTATTAGACGTAGATATTAGTCAAAAAGCTCTTTTTACTGCATAATTATCATTAGGTACATGAATGTCACCAAACGTGTACATTAAGAATAGATTTCTTATCGACCGTTTTAGCAGCAAGTACTTAGTTTTTTAAAAGTGCTGCAAGAATGGATTGTTGCTTTGTGGTCGTCACACACGGTTAGTTTAACTGATCATTCCAACTGGTCAGTTCAAACTAGGACTGTTGATATATTTTTTTAAATATCGGATTTTCGATATATCGATAATTATAAATATATCAATATCGGAGTTTTATATATCTAAGTTAATAGATGCGCACGACAGCGATTTACGAGCTTACGACTGATCGTGATCGATGGCGAACGGCGATCAGTGTTACCAATATTTAATTTTCGCTCCCGCTGTATAGAATGCTACAATCCCGTCAAAACCAGTTAAGTATGGATTCTTGATTTCTTAATTTTCATATTTATATATTTTACTTACAACACACATACAATATTTACAAGGCGCCACGGATTGTCCTGGACTTGTTTCTTTTTCTATAATCTAACATGTTCAAACACTTATCATTTAATTTGCCTAATAAATATATTAAATGAACATAAGTAAATGACTTATGATTGTTTAAAAAAAATAAAGCCTACATATCGATATTTTTTTCGATATATAAAAATCCGATATTGACTTATTTTATATTAATTTACTATATATAAAACTCCGATATTAATATATTTAAAATTATCGATATATCGAAAAACCGATATTTTAAAAAATATCAACAGTCCTAGTTTGAACTGACCAGTTTGAATGACCAGTGGAACTGACCGTGTGTAGTAATCATAAGATCTTCCTGTTGCTAGAAATCGTAATTTAGCAGTTAAACGTCCGTGAACGTTCATTACTTTGCTCATGCATATGCCCTGTTTCGTTGACTTTGAATTTATCTAAGGCCATTTTTGATACGTTTCTAAAATCAACCGGTTCTTGTATTGCCAAGTCTGCTATTAAATTAACATGAGAATATCTAGGTGTTTAAAGAAGCAAATTGTTTTCATTTTTTTTCATTGCTGTACCCATATGTAAATAAAACCAACAAAATTCGTTGTCTTGTAGTCATAATAAAAAACAGAGCACATTAAGTAGGGCGAAAAATTATTCTTTACGCCTGCTCCTGAACGAATACTGAATAATCGCTAAATATCATAGAATACTTTAGTATATAGCATTCTATTATATTCTAAATATACATAATATGTTGAATTGTAGGAAAGGTAAATTTAAATTATCAACGAGTCGCCGCCAGTGCTGCCAACTTTACGGGTTTCCCGCTAGATTTGACGGGTCAGCAAGGTTGGCAAGGGAAAAAAATTGTGTTTAACGGCTAACGGATTTTTCAGCGGGACAACAAAAATTTATGTTTTTTTAGATTTGTTTTCGAAATAAAAATAATTTAGACATGGCAAAAACTAAATTATAATTTTATTCATTTTTTTGGTTTAAAAATACGAAATCTTTAAAAAGAAGAGAGAGTAAATTTTCGTTTGTCGTAAATCTTTTAAATACAGCTCGGATACTGTTTTCTCGTTGGTCGGACAAAATGATGCGTTACTGTTGAATATATAGAAAACTATCAACTAAACTATTTATTTCATTCTCTCTACTGTTTGAGTCGCATATCCTTGTCTATGAAATCATATGTACAACGTTTAATCTGTTTTTATTATTATTGTTTCTCCTATTGAATTCTCAAAATAATTCTTTTGTTTGTAATAAGGATGTTTAATCTGCAATAAAAGTTTTGTTGAATACTAGCAATTGTTTTTATTAAAAATGGGAAAAACTGCTGGAAATCCTATTAATAAACAAAAATTCCGTAATGAGTGGCTTCAGGATATTCTATGCAAGGAAATAATTGAATATAATGAATTGTTTTATTGCCAACGGATGAGA